ATAATAATCATCATCATCATCATCATCATCATCATCATCATAATAATAATAATAATAATAATAATAATAATAATAATAATAATAATAATAATAATAATAATAATAATAATAAACTTAATGCACAAAAAAGCTCACCAGTATTTGAAAGATTTGAAATTCATGTAATTGTCATTTTGACAAATTTCTCTCAATTGTTAATTTGGAAGCCCAACTCTAGAATTTTGGGAAAGGAAGAAAAAAATGTATATTTAGGGTTAATTAATTATTCATTCTATGTTCTTTCTAATACACATATAAGTAAATAGGATATGTGTAATTTTTAAGCATTTAAATTAAATAAAGTATGATGACAAATGTTTTGCTTTTAATACTTATTGTTAGTTGAAATCCTTGATAGTATGTTTTATGAGTCAATATTTTCTTTTAATTTAGGCATAAGACAGAATGTGGTAGGTGTTTGATTTAATGAGGAACTTAGAAATTGTTAATGCAATGGCCTCATTTAATTTAATCTTCAAAGGGGACTAAAAATACTTAAAATTGTTCACCATCATAATCATTAAGCCGGTCTGATGGCTGAGATCATTAGGGTAGTACTGCTGTAGCGGTCTTATAGCAGAAGACTGTGGGTTCAAGTCCCGCCTCGGGCATGGGTTTTATTAGTGTATGTCTATATAGTCCCTGGCCATATTATTAGACGCACTCCAAATTTTTATCAAAATGTTAAGTTTTGAAGTCTCTCACTGCAGTACATTACATCTGGCATTGTTGCAAATCAATCAATAAAAACAAAGCAGCTTTTTCTAATATTTAACACATTATTTGTCATTATATACCATTGTTGTGACACCTCATTGTTGCTTAGATGCAAGTTACAAAAGTTGAGTAGAACAAGAGGTGACATGAGTAGTGTGTTGTTGCATGAAGATAGTTTATTTTCCTTTTATTAGTTTGTGAAATAGTTATAGCTGTGTTTATTTAAAAATTGTGAATTGTTGTACGAAAAACTGATAGTTTTGAATAAAAATAATGGGAAAGGCAAGTGATTTGTCTCCTCGAAAGATCACAGCAGTGAAAGCTCTTGTCAAGACAGAAAATTATTCAAATCGTCAGATATCTCGAAGGTTGAACTTATCCGAGACATCTATTCAGCGAATTAAGAAAAAAATTGTCCTTGGTAATGAATTATCCCCATGAAGGAAGAACACATGTAGACGGAAGAGAATATTTTCACCCAGATCTGAGAGATGTTTGAGGAAGATTTGCCATGAAAACCGTTTTGCTAGTACTAAACAAATTAAATTTAAATTGGAAAGTAGTGGAATCTGTGTATCTGAAAGGACAGTAAGGCATACACAACTACAAATGAATTTTAAAGCTTATAGACCAGCCCAAAAACCCAGATTCATAACTGGCATGAAAGAAAACCGTCTTGCATGGGCTAAGAACCTTAAGAATAAAAATTTGGACTTCTGGAAATCTGTAAAAATGTAGTCGAGTGCTTTTTTTTATAATTATGAATGACTACCAAAATTAATTCTAATGTCATTTACTTGTATTTCAGGTTTTTTTTAGCGATGAATGCACTTTCGAAATTCTAGCAAACAAACATCAATTTGTGAGAAGGCGCCCTGGTGAAAAGTATCATTCAGATTGTCATCCAGACTGTGAAACATCCAGTCAAGGCAATGATTTGGTCAGTGATCAGTGGCAAAGGCACGGAGCATCTGTACTTGGTTAAGGGCATCATGAAACAAGACCAAAACAAGCAAGTATTGGAGAAACGACTGCTGCCTCAACTACAGAAATGGTTCACAAATGAAGAATCATTTGTTTTTATGCAAGATGGGGCTCCATGTCATACTGCTTGAACAGTTCGATCATTTTTGTTATAGAAAAATGATCCTGTGTTACCATGGCCAGGAAATTCACCAGATATGAACCCAATAGAAAATGTTTGGGAGCTCATGAAGAGGGAAATCTTAAAGGAAGAAATAACAACAAAAATTCACGTCTTTGAAAAAATAATTCAAGTCTGTTACCATCATCCAAAATGACAAGAAACAATCCAGGCGTGCATTATTAGCATGCCAAAAAGTCTTAATGCATGCAAAGTCTTAATGCAAAGTCTTAAGTCTTAAGTGCATTATTAGCATGCCAAAAAGCTCTAATAGACCCAAAGGTGGCTTGACAAAGCATTAAAGATAAACATGTGCATGGAGATTTTTTATGAAAATTAGTTTATATATTATACTGACAGTCATCATTTTGCATATGATATCTTGTTTGTATCATAAGTATTCAATTATTACTTATGTATTTCCTTAGAAATAAAAAAATACATTTTTCGTCACAAAAATGTGATTTTTATTGAAAATTTAGGGTGCATCTAATAATATGGCAAGGGACTGTATGTGTGGGCCATCCTTTCATCCCTCACCATCATCATCGTCTCATTGTCCATACCCCCAGGAGTAACATCCTTGGGGGATAAAAATTCGGGTTTCTAAAGCTAAAATGCTGATCCTACCAGAAAGGTACTTGCACCTGCTGAAGCAAGATGCCTGTGTGGTCCAAGTTAGCAGTTTTGGATCTTCTCTGATTATTAAATAATCTATGATAGATTTTGTTCCTCTTCCTTCCCAGGAGAAATTACAGCTTTCCTTATGCTTAAACTGTGTATTTTTATTTATTAGTTTATTGTATGTATTTAAGTCTTTCAATATTTTTCCTTTCTGGTTGATGAACAGTTCTTCTTCAGTTTCTATTCATGGTTCAACCTCTAGATTCCCTGTTCTAGCATTGAAGTCTCCAGTCATGATTAGTATTTCATCCTGTTTGTTTGTGTCAATTGTATGTGTAGATATATTTTAAAATTTGACAAAGTGGCAAGTGGTAATGTGACAAGTGGATGAGCACATTAGTATATTTGTATATAATAATTAGCATTTATATATACATCATCATGACCATCATTATCAACATCATCATCAATAAATTAGGCTTTAAAATCTGTTTCTATTGGTTTACTACAGTATTCTTAGCAGTGTCTTCCAAGCGTCCTTGCTGTTACCACATCTTTAGTAGTCTTCCTATATCTCTGTTTTCTCTTGGTTTGTAATTTCACATCAATTTTGACAGTTGTGTTGTTCATCCTCATTATGAGATACATCTGTTTCTTTTGAGGATGCTCTATTTCTTTCTAATAATCTTATTTCTCAGTCTGCCTTATCTTGTGATTGTCTTATCTTATGTGAAACCTGTAGTTGTGATCATTCTTCTCCTTTGTTATTCATGTTTCAGAGCCATACACAAACATATATAGTTATCTCATCTACATATTTGAGTAAATATTTTGCCTTATAGCTTTGAGATTTAAAATTTGGGTATTTTACTCAGTTGCAAAACTTTGCTGTAATCATTAACACATAAATTCACTAATTTTTAATAATTAAAAATAGTAATGTTTGTTTTCATACAATTTCATGACAATTTTAATTTCTTGAAAACAATGGTACATATGCACCAATAATTAGATGTTTTGAATGTACTTTATGTTTTTGATTATTTAAATTTTACTTTTGAAATGGTCACTTAAAATTGTATCTGGATACTTGTTACTTGTGAGTACAGAACCAACGAGTTAATATCAGTTCCAAAAAATATGTAATGAAATATGTGAAAAGTTCTTGAATTTTCCAGAAACTATGAAAAAATTGGAAATTGTACATTGTGATTTGATGAGTAACCAAATTCAGGGCAAAAATGTGTAGAAACATTTGAATCTACCCTCGAAAGATAGCCAATTTAGACTTACTCCCTTTGCAGAAGCTTAAAAGAGAAAGCTAAAAATATCCAAAATTGGTCATAAGCAGCTAAAACCTTTGTAGCAAACCTTCAAAAGCCTTTGTAGCAACTAAGTTTCGGGCAACAAATTGACCCGAAACCTGTTTCAAAAATTAAAAATTAGATTGAAAATTGTTGATCAAATAAATATCATATACAATAACAAATGTTAGTTTGCAGTTGGTTCCCCTCTCTGGTTTTAGCCAATAAACTTACAGTAAAATGAAAGTGAATATTTTGGCATGAATGTTGGTTTAGTTAGAATGAGGTCACCAAATATATGTTAAAATTCTTGACATAGGAGCTATTGGTATGTGTGCTGTCAGAAAATCTTAAATTCAGTTGAACATTTGGCAAACTTCTAATAAAAATGTCCGTCCTTTTATTTAGGGACACTCTTTTATGAAGAACCTTTTTTTTTAATGAAAAGAAAAAAAGGGGAAAAGAATTCAATACTATAAGCAACCTTCCATTATTTAATATTATTTTTAAAATAACTAATGCACCAAGTATCATAACTTTACAAGACAGACTTGAGGATTGTGCTGAAAAGTCTTCTGAATGTAAATAAAGTTGTAATATGATTAAAGTGGTAATATGTGATTAAAGTTTGTTCTAAATGAAAATATAAAGTAAATATTTTTTTCACTTTTACAAAGATCAACTTCCATTACTAAAGATTATTTTTCAAATTTCTAATGCAAGCAATCATCACATTTCAAGACAAAAATGAGAATTGTGCCCAAAAATTCTTCTGAATATGATTAATGCGATGTGTTATGTTGAGGTAGTGAATTGTATTTAAATTATAATAGCTACAGTTTTCTGAAATCTGAGTTTAATAAAAAAATTATTACTATTCAAAGAAAAATTGCTTGCTTAATAATTAATAAAACCCTCTTTTATCACAATTATTGTAGTAAAAGAGGGTTTTAAAATTTAAAAAAATAATTTATACAAAATTTTACTGCAAATTCGAACATTTCTTTTCTTTCTATTCTTATAATATCTTCTTCATATAACCAGTAAAAAAAATTTATATATATATAAATTTCAAATAGCCCGCTGAAAATTGAGTACGCTTGTTTTACAGCGCTATAGTGCGGCGATAAATAGTATTATTTGCGCTCATATAATGCTTCCGAGTCTTTGGGAGATATGGAATATCATTGGACAGAGATTGGACATCTGATAATGAAGGGCACGAGAGATGATGGGCAAAGAGATCTTTCGTTATCAGAATTTGGGCATGTATTAGGCAGTGTTTGTGTGTCCCTTATGTGTACAGTGGAAAATTGACGGATATGTGCATTTGTCTTAAATTGCATACAGTATGAGTTGTATTTTCAACCGAGTGGCGCAGTTTAATTGCGGTGGCGTTCTTAACCTGTATAGTGAATGTTGTGTGTTTCATCAGTTTAGTTAATTAAATGCCAAATGAAAGGTCGTGCGCCAATATACATACCCAGAAGAAATGTACATAATTGTTCGACATAATAGTATTTAGTTTAATAATTATTTGATGTGAAGTGTCATGGCGGTGGCGGCGATGTTGAAGGTAAGAATGAGAGCCGGCAAAATAACAAGTTCTGTGGTACTGTGTACTTCTACATTGCATGATGCTCCCATTAAATAATTCTGTCTGCAAGTTGCGAGGAGTGTGTTGCTTATTGAAGTGATACACAACTTGTTATAGATTACAAGCTGTTTAGTGTATGCAGTTTATTATCTGATCTATTATAGGATAAAGGGCAGCTTATGTTTGAAGACAAATGGCCTTCTATGAGACCAATTATATTGAAGTTATTACAGCAAGAACCAGTGACTCAAAACGAATGGCAGGATTTATTTTACTCTGTGCATCTTGTATGCTTGTGGGACGAAAAAGGCCCACCAAAAGTGAAAGAAGCATTAAAAGATGATATTATGGACTTTATCAAACAAGCCCAGCAAGTAAGACTGATATTTTGTGAAAGGGAAACCTTTACAACAGTAATGAGTGCTAAACTAAGGATTTTACTGTTAATTTCTTGCTTATCTATGTGCATAAGATTTCTTGGCAAATTTTAATGCGATTTATCTTTCTTAGCGTGTTTTGTCTCATCAAGAGGACCAAGCCTTACTGAAAGCCTACATAGCAGAGTGGCGTAAATTTTTCACTCAATGTAACTACTTGCCTACTCCTTTTCGACAATTAGAGACTTCACTTGCTGGGAAAACATCGTCCTCAGTTCAAAAGAAGGCCCAGAATGATGAAAGTATTGTTCGTAAGGTAAGAATGATTGTATTTAAGTGATGCATTGAGTTAGAGGTTAGATGTCTGATATTTTCTTCAAGAGATTGCAACCCAGAAATGTGGCAAAATGCCTTTTTGTTTTTTTTATTTTTATTATTATTATTATTATTATTATTATTATTATTATTATTATTATTATTGTTTCATGACTTTTGACAGTAGAAATCACTAAATTGTGTTTCTGGAGTTGTTTTAGTTGATTTTCATTTTGCCATTTTGGCTGTTTTTTGGTCTATTTTAGCTTCTGAAACCAATTTTTGCCTTTTTCCTTTCTTCTGGTACTGATCTTGATCTATCTGGATGTATACCTGCAAGCCTGGTCAACATAGAGGCACAGTTGTATTTTGTTTTTCTGTGGAAGTAGAGGCTCTGTCAAAAATCTAAATGAAAAAGGAAGATGATATTAGTAGAGGGTTTTTTTTATTGATAGTGGTAGATTTTGTTTGCTTATCAGGAATCCCATCCCACTTGTGAGTATGGCCTCTGATCCCTTCTGAGGGCAGCTCTCTGTGAATGAAGTATAATATTAATTTATAGCCATCATGCCGTATGGTCCTGTGAAATGAACATTATCAAGATAAGATTTTTTCCGTACATGCTAAGTGCTAATGTTTGAATAAGAATGAGAATCATTTTAATTATTAATTTTTTACAATAATACGGGTAAGAGTCATAAAATGGTTTATCTGTGACAAAGTAGAGCGTAATATCATTTACTGCAATCTATCAGATAATCAGCAAACCTTTTGACTTACCACTGTCTACAGAAAAAACAAAGAAAGAAAATTATCTATCTCTGACTTTCTATATCTATCTTATTTTTCAAAAAATGTGTGAGAACACAGTTAACCTCTCAAAATGTAATGGAGATGTAATGAAAGTTTGTACACTAAATAAATAATGAATAGTTATTACTACAGCTCTCGTATCATTTCATTAGAAATCTCTTCTGTTTTTTCAAAATTTATGAGGTTAATGTGGTTGAAAAATTATGTATAAAATATTGCACCTACATTTTTAACACTATGAATAAAAAGTTAAAGATAATTATATTGGAAGATTAATGATCTCATTGAATGGTAATCATAACTAAAGATTGTTTTGATTGATCAAATAAATTATCACAGAAACTTTTCAGGGAACTTAAATATATGAATCGTTATCAAAGCTAGATTTTTGTGTAGGAAAAGCTTGACATATTTTCAAGGCTGAAATGATTGGGATGTTTCTTTATGCAGAATGTTGTTAAATTTTCACTTCAGTGTGACGCAAGATACAATTTAAATACATATTTTTTTTGGATTAATAATGTAAAATTTGTTCGCGTAACCTTTATACTTTAAGAATATTTGTATTTTTTTTAAACTTCAATGTAGCTCTAATAATAAAGAAGAATATAAAAGAAAGAGTGAACATTGTGTTATTCTTGCTGAATGTATAAAAATCTCCTTATTGTATTTAAGTTCCCTTTGCTATTGATATGAACCACAGTTGTGAGCTGGGGATCACAGATTTTTTTAAATTTGTTTCTTTTTTCTTGTAGCTTATGCTGGATAGTTGGAACCAGAGCATTTTCTGTGATATTAAACAGCGGCTTCAGGATTCAGCCATGAAACTTGTGCATGCTGAAAGGAATGGGGAAGCTTTTGATTCTCTACTTGTCATTGGTGTACGCGAATCTTATGGTGAGTGTAATTGTTAACTGAGGTTGCAATTGGAGTAATTTTTCTTTCCTGGTCTACAAACTATTAGACTCTCTTGACTTTGAAGAAATGTACATTTTTTAATGTAGTTATAATAAAATTTCAAAAAAGTTTCGTTCCCAATTCTAAAGTAGTGCAAACAATGCAAAACAAGATCTTTTGTTTACCAGCGTTTTATGCTAATAATAGAAAGCTGAGACAGTGTCTCATCATAATTATTTAATAGTGTTTAAAGCTTTTTCCACCCCTTTGCAGGGCTATTTTCATGTCAAATCGAAGATAGTCGCTGTGTGTATGAAAGAGTGTAATATAATCTTAAACAATTCAGATGAGACTACTTGGCTAAAATCTAGTTTTCTATTGTTGGACACATCATAAAACCTATGCCACCTATTATTTGTGACAATATAATCTCTAAAACTTTGAGCATTTTTTTTGACACAATTTCTTTCATCTGCAATCATTTATTATTCTTTTTATTTGCTTCTTTGATGAATGCAATAAAAATAAGGAAAGGCATCTAGGATGTTTGGGGAGGTACCTCTGGAACACATAATTACTCAACACGATGTACCATATACTATGAGGCAAATATTTACAGAACATTAGACCACTTTTTTCAATGAATTATTATTTCCATTTTTATCTTATTGTGTGTTGAGAGAAAACAAAAGATATGTTACCTAAACTTATTGAAGATTTTAAAGATTTAAATACATTAGTCATTTTTAAGACATTACAAGAAGTAGGTTGGGAATTTTCTGGGCTCACGGTCAATATGCATGTGGTATTTGGTTAGTGTGGGGAAGTTACACGAGTACAAACTGCAGACAAGGGGTGGAGAATGCTCTCTTTTTCTCAGGCATGTTGAGACTGAAGTGAATCACCCTTGCCTTTTGCGTCAGCATATCTCCAGGTTTCTTTTTAAAGCTTGTGTGGGGATATGAAAATGGAAGTTGCACTGCATTATTCTGAATTTTGAAGTTCATATACCAAACGCCACTTGCCACAGAATATTGAGAAAAACATTTTCATTTCCTGATTCACAGAAGAATATGATGGGCATCGAGTTGGCATTGCTTACTGGGATGATGGACCTAGTTCAAGTCAAAATACTTCTTTAAAGAAAATAAGAGTATTTCAACTGGACCATGGCCTATCTGCTCTTAAGCAAAATCATTATTAACTATATATTAGTGAAATTAGAAAAGTAAATATACATTATTGTTGCATGCCATATTTTCATAGTCTTTAAGTGATTGTGAAAAGCCTCTTGGAAAGACTAATAATTTTTGTAAATTTCAGTGATTTTGTGTGTTAATGAATATGATTCTGTAAATGTGTTTGAACCAGAATATACAAAAATTACAAATATCTATGATAATGATTAATAAAAGATTTAAAGCAACTTTAATTATTTTGAAGGAACACATTCAGTTGCAATAATATTTAATGAAATTTGGGTTGAAATTCTGAGAGATTGCTCATTCATTGTGAAAATTAAATTGAATGTTTGAGAAATTTGCATAATTGATAATTTTTTGTTTTACTCATCAATGTTCCAGTTAATCTTTGCTCAAACCCAGAAGATAAGCTGCAAATCTATCGAGAGAACTTTGAAAAGGCTTATATTGAAGCAACTGAAGCATTTTATAAAATGAAGGCTCCTCAGTATCTACAAGCAAATGGTGTACAGAACTATATGAAATATGCAGATAGCAAGTTACGTGAAGAGGAGCAAAGAGCGCATAAATATCTGGAGTCTTGCAGTGGCTCTGTTCAGGTGGTAAGTTGCTGTTATATCTGGTAAACTGCATATTCTGATCCTGTGGACATAAAGCATGGTTTATGAAGGAGCATGTTTTGGAAAGTCTGTTTGTTTACCAAAAGCAACAAATATTTTTTTAATTTATTTTGGAATTTGTAAAGTACCATATATACTTGAATAATCTCAGCATATTTGTTTCAAAAATTGACAGCTGAAAGTGGGGTGCATATGTTATTTGTGTGAAGGGTGGTACCAGGAACTTGATGTGTTTCACATGGTGGCATGGTTTAGTATAATGCATTCGTTGAGGTTCAGTAGATGTTCGCTAACCACACAGTGTTAATCATGGCTTCTGCGAGTTTGTGCAAGAGAACTTTCACTGCGAATGAAAAATTAGGCCTGAAGCAGAACAAATTGGTAACTGTGCAGCAGGGAAGATGTTTTTATTTTATTGCAGGTGCAGGATTGTGTTTCAACATTAACAATGTAATGAATAAATGAATGAAACTATTTTTTTTGCAATAAAAGTGAAAAAAGTGATTTTCTTTCTTTTTTCCCCTTCTGAGGTTTCCATAAAATTGGGAACGAGTGTCACTTGAGGGCAGGTATTATTCGAGTATACATGGTATTTTATCGTTAAGTCACGGCATATTGTTAAATCACACCATCTTGAGCATAGTGTATGTTTCTATACTCTCATTTGAGGGAACATTTCTCAAATAATTAACAATTAAATTCTTTATTTCAGCTTACTGACTGCTGTGTTAATGTGTTGGTGTCAACATTTAAGTCAACTATACTCGCAGAATGTGCTGGCATGATCAAAGCCAATGAAACAGAAAGTATGTAAAATTTTTTGGGAACTAAAAGATTTGATTTGATTTATTGTTTGTTGTTGTCTTTTTTTTCGGGGTGGGGGTGGGAAATTAAATTTGCTAATTATTTTCTTCGTTTGAAATATTTGAAATTTCTTGCATGTAAAGAACTAATTTAAATTATTTTATTTTACTTTTATCTGACCAGCTGATACAATAATGAGATTTTGTATGATTTTGGTGAAATAGTGTTAATTCTCTCTAGGACTGCAACTTATGTTCAAATTGATGGATCGAGTACCTGATGGTATTCAGCCAATGTTACATGATTTGGAAGAGCACATAATGAGTGCAGGTCTGGCTGATATGGTGGCTGCCGCTGATGTAATTACTCAGGTAAAAAGTTTCTTCTTTCCTATTCTGTATTGAAAAATTAGTGAATGTATTTTATTGTAATTTTTATTAATAATTTATTTCATTTATTATCATTTATTTCTATACTGCTGCCTTCAAGTTATTATTTAAATAACACAATTTTGCACTTGAATTGTTTTAAAACCACAAAAACACAAAATTGTTAATAATTTAATTCACATGGTCTTATCTTAGACAGTGTGATTGTGACTTGTAAGATTGTGACCAATAAGATATAAAAAAAAGCAGAAAATTATCCAAAATAACAAAATAGACTAGTAAATACTTCTGACATTTCTCCATATTTTTGTGAACAACTTATTCGTATTCACTTCAACAATTGAAAACCAATTTTGCAAATGGATTGTTATTTATTTTGTAGGACTCTGAAAAGTATGTGGAACGATTATTGGAACTCTTCAAACAATTCAGTGTATTAGTATCAAAAGCTTTTAATGATGATCCACGTTTCTTAACAGCTAGAGACAAAGCTTATCGCCATGTTGTGAATGATACTCAAGTATTTCGTCTTGAACTGCCAGCAAAACAGGTTAGTTTTTTTATCATGATTTTTCTCATGTGATATGAAGTGTTATTCAAAATATAATAATTTTATTCTGTATTTCTGTTTGCAGACTGGAGGTTTGAAGGCTCAACCTGAATCAAAGTGCCCAGAGCTTTTAGCCAATTATTGTGATATGTTGTTGCGAAAGACCCCACTTAGCAAAAAGCTAACTTCAGATGAAATAGAAAGCAAACTTAAGGATGTGGTGAGTACTTATTTAAGCATTACCGAGTGTAAGAAATAAATCTGTATTTTACATATATTTTGTCTTACTATGTACAGTTCTGATAATTGTTATCTTGGTGAATTATTTATATGCTAACAATATCTAAATTTTTCATTATTTAATTGTACATATTTTGAACTATATGAAGTATTATACAAATTTTGCTAATGTTCTACGTGAATTAAAATCTCTACAAATTTTATTATGATAGTTTGATTATTTGATTATTTTTCAAAAATAGTTTTAATTTAAAAATTCAGCATGTTTTATAAGTACTTTACATGTGAATTGCTTGCTGATGATTTGAGATCTCCCAGTAAGTCGTGTAAATATTATTTTTAAAATTGGATTAGTAAATATTTTGTTTTTGTAATTTAAATTGTGCATTTTTAATTTTTTTTATTCAATTTTTTGCATGAAAATATTTGAGCAGTGTATTAAATTCTATTTTTTAGTGAAATTTTATCTTGTACATTACATGTGATTTTACGTATGGTACATATTCTTAGTTTTCTTTACATATCAATGTTTATATATTGCTGTGATATTCTATATATTTTTTCTGACTCTTAATTATCATTATTATTATTATTTTGATAATGATTTTTCATAATAATTTCTATTTGTCTTAATTTTTTGCAAGTCACATGATGTAGGGTGGCACTTTAGAATATAATTTTGGAAACGTATTTATTGTCATTCTTGTTGTTACTTTTACAGTTGTTGGTTCTGAAATATGTGCAAAATAAGGATGTATTTATGAGGTATCACAAGGCACATCTTACACGTCGTCTGATTTTAGATACATCAGCAGATTCTGAAAAAGAAGAGAACATGGTAGAATGGTATGTAGTCAAGGTTTTCTTTATAATTTTTATTGATACTTTTTTTTAGTTGTGTTAAAGAATAGTTTTATTTTAATCTTTGAACATGGGAATCTGTCCTGTTTCTTTCACTCCTGTTGAGAGTATTGATATCTAGACGTCAGGGGATTTACCCTCTGGAACAGGATGCTGTGTGAAGACAGAGTGGCCATAGCAGTGCACAGAGCTGTCTACATTCTGCTGTCATTTACTGCCATTTTTTTCTCCAATCACTGCAGAATGCTTCCACACCCAACCTAAACTCGCCATTAAAGGGATAATACGTTACGTTACATGTGTTTTGTGGAAGAATTTACAACTAAAAGAAGTTTATAAAACAAAGTTTACTGATTGATATTTCATCCCATTCTGCTTAGTTGTTAGGAAATGTGTTTTGATGACATTCAGTATTATTGGCAATTGATCTGTTATAAAAGCCTCGACTCTGTTTCTGATATTAAGATTGTACAAATATGAAACAATCTCAAATGATCATGTTAGGAATGTGTGGAATATATTGAAATTTTTGGAAATGTTAATAAACTAAACACTCAAAGACTCCAGAAGTAGTATCAAGTTCATGGTGCTCAGGGTTGGCTTTGAGTGTGTTGGAGGTGTTCTTTGAGCTCCAGAAGTTAGTAAGTGAGAGGTAGAGAACCACTTTCGACCTGAGAAGTTTGAATTGCAAATTGGGGCCATCTGTGGTGTAGCAATCAGCCTACTCGCATTGTTTTTGACCCTTCTCAATTTAAGAGAAATTTGTCATGGGCTAAGCAGGTTCAAGGCAAGTCTCCTTGAGATTCTCTTATTTCACCATCTTAATGGTCATTTTTGATCAAGATGATAATTCCCACCACTCAAAATGGCTGAGTTAATTTAGAGCCAGCTGTGGCTCTGGCCAGATCCTTGAGTTTGAGTTTCAATGGTGAAGAAATTTTTGACACCGGCATTGTTGTTAGATTGGGCTCAGCCGCTGTCTGGAGTATCATTCTAGTGGCTGGGTGCTGTGAAGGATAATAAAGTAATTTCTTCGATGAATGCTGGGTACTGGAGTTGTATCCTAACAAATGGTGTGCCAGGGACCACAGGCAAACTTCCCTTTCTCTTCTGTGTTGTCTCCACCATACACACCCCGTTCTCTCCTCTCCTCTGACTCTTGCACTTCCTTGCACTGCGTTGCCACATAGACTGGGAGGCCAGCTACAAGCTTAGAGCTTGCCCCGGCTGAGGCAATGCAAGGTGACGTGTAGTTAGACATTAGATCTCCACATCCAACAGGGAGGTAAACTGCCATCTCGGAGAATAAAATAATTTACTACACTAATGGGGACTAATGAAGATGGCACTTGCCGAGCCTAGAAACTATCAATCAAACAAATCCTGTCCCAACACAAACACCTTACCAAGGAATCCTGACAACAGCAAGGTTTAGTTCTCTGGCTTGAGGTCTATGATTGCTGTCTCCCTGAAAATTAATACCATATAATAAATAAAAAAGTTAACAAAAAATTGCAAATTAGTTGTTTGTTTCTCTTAGGTTTAATGTTGCTTGTTTTAGGCTGAGAGAGGTGGGTATGCCAGCAGATTATGTAAACAAGCTAGCTCGAATGTTCCAAGATATCAAAGTTAGTGAAGATCTCAATCAACAATTCAAAGAAACTTATCGAAGCAGTCGAGGTAGTATTGCAGGTCAGTACAGTGTATATGCATTTAAAAAATTAGTCTTATGTTTACTGAATTACTTGTGAATAGAAAGTTCAAATTATATATTATTTTCTCCATTTAGTGAAAAACAGCACTTCTCTTATGGAATTTTGGTGCCTATTTATGTTGTTCTTGTGTGTTTCTTTTTTTGAGGTGCTATTAGGGAATATTGTCTTTTCAATTTAGTTGTATAAAATACTGATATTCATCACTTTAACAGTAAAACTTGAAACTGAAATACATTCATTACTGCGTGTTATATACAGTAAAACTTTGCATTATACATAATTACATTGCATAATGTGGAATCTTGACTAAAGGGGAAAAAATGCTGGTCCACTGCATTGGGCAAGTTTAACTATATCTGGTGGGGTATAAGTTTTACTCCCCCCCCATGCACACACACACTCTCTCTCTCTCTCTCACAAACACACATTTTCAAACTCTCGTAATATTACCTGTAACACACATTTTTGTTAATGTTTGTGTAATACAGTAAAAAATGCATAATAGGTAGCATTGTGCAAAAGAAGTTTTGCTTTTTTTGGAAGTTTTATTATCTTTGTGTTGTCTTTGCAAGTGTTTGTTGTGATGAAATGTGATGTCAATAAAAGTTTGGTTCTTTTATTTGAAATAATTTTTTTAAAAACCTTAAAACCTTTAAATGGGTTTATTTTTAAAGAACCCAAGAGTGTTTGTTTGGGTTGGAAAAAATTTAGCCTGCCTTGTTGGATATCAACTTGTAAGTATATTAAGTCATTAGTGTTAAAGCAAAACTTCTTCTTAGAATTTGCTTTAGAAATTAATTTCAATTTGCCGGGAAAGATTGCTCTTTGAGCCAAGATGGCTTTAAAAATTGGGCTCTCATTCTCTATTACACCTCATGTGGAAGAATCTACTTACTATACAAAGAAAATGCAATTGTCTCTTCTCAGCTTGTTATGCCTAATTGATGCTTTATTACACCTGTCCAAGTTGGCGATGAGGCCTTTGGCCTTCGGGTTTAACTCGCTTCAACTTTGTGACTGTAACCCCTAATTTACTTAATTTAATTAATTGTTCCATTTTGGTTTATCAGTCTTGAGGCATACAGAGTTCAAGGGAGAATATTAAGGATAAAACCTAAAATTTATAGGACGATGGATTGATGATGTTGTTTATGAAAAACTCATTCTGTGCACAGATTCAATCAACATCAAGATACTGAATGCAGGTGCTTGGGCACGGGGTAGCGAGAGGGTCACTGTCTCGTTACCTTTGGAGCTTGAAGACTACATTCCAGAAGTTGAAGACTTTTACAAGAAGAAACACAGTGGTCGCAAATTGCAATGGTACCACCATATGTCAAACGGCACTGTAAGTATGAGATTACAAGTCAAAACTGAATGTCATTCTGATATGAAACAGCACAGAACAGTAATATTCGTATAGTTATGTTGAAAATAAAATGGAGTACTCTAATAAGTGGTAATTATAAATTATGGAGCAAATAAAAGACCAATTAGTAAAGTTATTTTATGGCTTGCTGCAATGAACTAATAGAACTTTATTCCAAAAAGGTTTGTCTTGTTATTGTTACAACATCTTGGCAATAATATAATTGTGCACATTAGTTTTGCATGATTTGAAGAATCAATACCAAAAATAATTCACAGAATTGGTGCAATCTCCTTTCTTCATTATGGCAATTTCTAGGAGGACAGTTTTGAATACACTGATATTGGAGAAATTTTGTTGATCTTCGTTAAGGCATTAATGCTCTCCAGAGGCAGCTGCCCCTTAAAAAGTCTTGGCCTGAGCCTTCCCGGAAAAATCAATGCTGGGAAAAGTAGAACTACTTACTAAACTCATACTTAAATGTTTAATTTGTCAAAAACTTACACAACTCATTTAATTTGCTTGTGTGTATCAGCAGGACTGGTTTTGGGGATTATTTAATTTCATTTGCCCACATGAGCGATTGATCAATGTTTTTAGAATGAGCTGCATTGTGGACTATCGCATTTGCTGTCTGTAGCTGGTGCATATTAGGCAATGGTTGCATGAAGATGATTGGGGGTATTGGAAGTTGGGTGGGACAGCATGTCATGATTAGGGTTTCATTTCGCAGAGCCTGCACTAATTACCTAACTTATTAATATCAACCCTTTCATTTGATTTCATAAATTAATGTTTTGTTTGCTGTAAATATTTTTCTCAAAAATTGTTTTCATGAGAACAATTACATCTTCTGATAGCAATGTAAAAGTTGTCTTATGCAAACATTAAATCCAAGTTTGCAAATCGGCTGTATACTACATGCTTAGTTTGCCTAACATCAAAAAATATTCTGGAGAAGCAAAATGTATGCCTACGTGTGTTGCTTGCTGTCGCTCCTAGTGGCAGCCGCTGATGCCCATGAACAATTATAAACAAACTTGAAAGATACTCTTTGAATTCTAGAGATTCCATCATGATTACAAAGATTTTTCATTAGTAATTTCTCTAAATTCTTCTCCACAGTTCATGTTCTCTCCAAAATTGATTCTATATTGTCCTCTCTAAGTATCGTAATGCAGTCTTCACACCCTTCAATGTCTCTTGCACTATTGGAATAACGTCCCATCTCTGAAGGCTCTTTTGTTTGCCTAATAATATATGAAACACTTTCGGTAACGGGATCTCGCAAGCAGCTAAAGAAACTGGCCGCTTTACTGTGCGGCACAGTGAATATCACCAAACTATGGCAGCCACATGCTTCCTGTCACCTGCATAAAATGTAATATGCTCTGACCCAAGGAATGCCAAGTAACACCAAGATTGATACTGAAGTAAGCAATCGCGAATTGCCGCGGGCAGTTGTAGCCCATGCAAGACACAGCCTTTTTTTCTGCAGTGAAACTGAGTGGCATAAGGTCATCAGTATGATGCCTATTTCTGGTCTCCTACATTCATTCTAGGAGACACTACTTCTATTCTGGCCTTTGGCCAACATATTTTCATGCTGCCAGGTGTAGGAATTGGTGACACTGAGTGTATTTCCTATGTTCATTATAGCTGAGGTCAAGTGTTCTACAACAGACTCTTCTTATACTTATTTGTAATGTAAGTGAAACGGGACCAGTGACTTAACTTCACTATAACTGGAGTTGACTGTATATTAACTGTATATAAGCATTTTTGCAGTGTGAGCCTTTCTCAATTCAGTTCTTGGGATTTTTGCAGATCACATTTTCAAATGCTGTGGGCCGTTTTGACGTGGACGTGACAACATTTCAAATGGCAGTTTTATTTGCCTGGAATCAGCGCCCTCTAGAACGAATTCCATATGAAAATTTGCGTCTTGCTACTGAACTTCCAGACCCAGAGCTAAGACGCACATTATGGGTAAGTGCAGAATCAAGTGTTTATGATATATTGAATTTATAAGCTGCATAAATTGGTTTTTGAACATTTTAGTAAAAATATTTATAATAAAATCAAATAATCTGTAACACTCTCTACCCTGTTGCAGTCTCTGGTTGCTTTTCCAAAACTGAAGAGGCAGGTTCTTCAGTACTCTCCAGAAGTGCAGTCACCGAAAGATTTTGAAGAAAACACTATGTTTTGGGTTAATCAAGAATTTGCTCTTGTGTGAGTATGTCTTCAGTATGATTGCATGTTTAAAAAATAGTTTTATAATAATTTGGACTACTTTACCGATACAAGACCCCTAATTTACCGATCCAATCTTAAGTTTTAGATGGCTCTTACTTTACTTTACTTTACTCACACTCCCTGAAAAATGTATGTAACAGAATTGTTGGCTTGACCAATTGCGTTCATGTATGGAAAATCATATCTATACACAATGATTAATAATGCACAATATAAAAAGAGAAACAGAATTAGTGTGTATAAAACTTCTATCTCCTGTCTTTCTTCATTAGATAACTTTTGGAAATATAAAAGGTCATAAGAATATTAGGGTAGGCTTTCATGGGCAGTGTAGTCTTGCTCTTGCTGTCTGGACCATTTTTGAAATGTTTGTATCATTCCCTTTGAAAAACAAAGTTACCTCAAATATCTTCTAAAATACAAGGGATAAAATAAAATGAATACACGTATCACTTGGCCCCATTCCTTCCTGCACTTCTGTGAAAACTGCATTGCAGTAACTTCCACCGTTCACAAGTTATAGGAGGTGCTTAAGTTACATGTCTCACCCTGCATTACATGTAGTTGATGTACATACAGAAGTTAACATAGTAAGAAATATTAAAATTAATAATGTTAACAAAAGCAAAGTGCAATTAATGAAGTTACAAATTAGTAATAAATAATTCTACTAGCTATTATGTTCTTTGTTTCTGCTAGCTTTAATGTTCTTTGTTTCAAACATCTGAGAAAACTTGCCTCACTCATACCTAATTGTTCTTCTCTCAAATATTCATTGCAATAGCTTCATAAACGAGGAAATGACGTACAATAGTAATTTTGTGTTTTGCAAAACATTTCTTTAAATAAAACATTCCTTCTTTTATTACATGAATTATTGTAGTGAACAAATAAATTTCTTAATTTTGATTTAATATAATTCTTAATTCTGGGCAATGAATTTTAGTCCTTAAAAGATTGTAGATAAATTGATTGTCCTGTAATACACATGAAGACAGTAAGGCTGTAATTTAGTTTCCAGGGAAATGTCTATGTGATCATGAGAATAAATTGACATTGGATTTTTAATCTTGAATGATGCATATATGAAAAATCTGTGTTGAACACACAATAATTTTTTGTATTACAAAATTTACACTTGGAGACAATACTACTGAGCAGTACACCAATTTTCATTTCACTAATGCATTATAAAAATATACTATTGTATTAAGTTGTTTAAAGTGTGAGATTGTCTTTTTATGAAACCTAATAGTTTTAAAGACTCATTAACTATATAATTAATATGATCATAAAATAACATTTTTAGATCCACCACTACTCCTAGATCTTCAATTTGATTATTTTTTTTTCAGTCATGACATATCCAATCAAATTCAATGTCTGAACTTTTTTATTACGTGTAATACATCTTAAAACTTTACACTAATTATAATTCAATTGGAACGTACTTTTTTCTTTCATTTCTATATGCCATAAGCTCAGTGTCAAAGTCTTTCTGTAGAAGTCTAGAATCTCCATCATCAATCATTCACATGTAATAAACTTACAATCATCTGCATATAATAAAAAGAGGAGTTTTCAAAAACATTTATTATATCATTTACAAAAATAATAAACATAATTGCTCCCAAGTGAGACCTGTGTGGAACTCCTGATGTTACATTAATTTCATGAGATTAAAAATCTCTATATCTTACCAGCTGTGTTCTGTTTCTCAAATAACTTCTCACCATTCCATGACAAATCCTTCAAAACCCATTTCTTCAAACTTTTTCAATATAATATCTATATTAACTTTATCAAATGCTTTACTGAAATCCGTGTAAATTAGATCTATTTGTTTACCTCGTCCAAGTACTTTTCACATCATTAGTAAATAGTATATTTGTTGTGATTGATTTATCATTTAGAAAACTGTGTTGTTGTTCTATAATATTATTTTTTAATTGAGGTTTCAGGATATCAAATAGTAATGTGTTTTTTAAAACACTTTGACAACATTATTGAAATACACACATGTCTATAGTTTGTGATATCATTTCTCTTACTGGATTTAAAAATTGATGTAATAAAACTTTTCTTCCAAACTTTTGGAAAGGAAGTGATTGAAAGTGATTTGTTAAATAAAATACTTGGAGGTAATGCAAAACCACCTGCACAATCTTTTAAAAAAGGCCCCTCACATTCTGGAAATATGACAAGTTAATTGTTCAGTTTTTTCAGGCCTCAAAATTATTCTCTGCCCTTTTTTCTATTATGTTTTTAATGACAGGAAATCCATTTATATATTTTATATACTTTTTACTTCTATTTTCTGCTTTATTTATTTTAAAATTTAATTGATTATAATCAATCTGCATTTTAGTGAAATGTGTTTGATACTTGACATCATTTTTAAATAAATTTCCCTTTTTCAAAATTCTTTAAAGTTTCCACATTTTTAAATGTTACTCTGAATGGTCTTGGTATATTTACAACTTCAGTGGGTATTCTCACCGCCCTCCCAAATGTGGCTTCAGGTTCAGCAAGTTTAAATAGAATTTCATCAATTGATGCTTTGTCATAATTTGTTCTGTTACTCAAAATATCACTATTTGATTCATTAATATCATAAAGTATAATGTCTTTAGATTTTAATTGTCTTTCATGAATTTCATATTGTTGGTGTTTACTAAAGATGTTTCTTGTGTTTTTCTTGCTAAATTACCTTCTTTATCTTTCCAATCATTCAATTCGCTATTCACATTTTCTTTAAATGCATTCATTGATGATGCAAATACATCCTTTTTTTCCTCCAGTAATAGATGTTTTTTTCAATGAAATAGGAATACTTTTAAAGCCATCACTACATTGCTTACAGAAGTATTTCAATTTTGTATTACTTTTCAATTGAAGACTTTTCTGATCTGTTGGAGATATATCATCACTTGTAGTGTGCTGTGCAATCACAACTATCACTAATTGCATGTTTATTTGTACTTAAATCTATTGATGTTTTGCATACATCACACTCAGCCTGAGAATCAGTCTCATGTCTCAGTGGCATTCTGATAATCCCAGTATGTCCATCCACAAGTACAAAGGTCTAGCTAATCAATTCACCAGACATTCAAGGGGCACAACTGGATACCAAGATGTCACCACACAGCTTATTTAAATAAAATCAATTTTAACTTTCTTTCCAACAATTCTAACTGAGTGAACCTATGCAATCACGTGTTGAGGTTAACTGTATGAAAACTCAGTTCTCCTTTCAATTTTTTATCAATTTCTGTGCTTTCAAATAAAAAGTAACTTGTATATTAGTAATTAACCTCAGTTCATCTAATAATCACTTTCAAACTGATGATAATAATACCACACATTCACAATTATCACCACACAGTATATTATGCACTCACACATGTTGAAATTAAATCTGCAAAAACATATGTAATGGTTTGAATTTTTTATAAATATTACGTAGAGAAAATTTAACTTATTGTATCATAATTAACTTAGTGGAAAAAACATCACTTTGATATCAATTAAAACAACAATTTTTGAAGAGCACTTCTCTAGTACGTCAACTCTCATATGCTGCCAACTTGAATTTATTATTATTATTATTATTATTATTATTATTATTATTATTATTATTATTATTATTATTTGGATAATTGATAGTTGATTTCTTTAGCTGTCTTTGCTTCTCTGAGTGCCATCCCTGGACAATTTTATGTCTGTCTCAAACTTGAGCATTTTTAAAACCAGCAATTTTTCATTTTTTATTCTTGTTCAGTAATTTTAGTGTAATCTTATCTTAAAAAAGTAATATGTTTGTGTAGTAAAAATGGAAAGCTCCAGCGCAGAGGAAAGATCAATTTGGTTGGTAGACTGCAGTTGAGTACAGAACGTAGCAAAGAAGAAGACAATGAAAGCATTGTGCAGCTGCGTATCTTAAGGGTGCAGGTAAGTTGTGTTATCAAAGTTTTAAGAGACTTCATTCAATAATAATACCAGTATTGTGTGTATAAAATGATTTTGAATAATTTTTGTTGTCTTCCATTGTTTCTAGTTATCGATCTGGCAATTAATCTGAATGTATTATGTTACCTAAAGTTTCAAAAATGTAAATTATATGTATGTATAATTTACATTTTTGAATCTCTTCTCTACAGATAATATGAATGACAATAGTGTAAAGGAAAGTGGTTTAGTTGATTATCTTGTCTTAAGTAAGTCGCGCAGGGTCACTCAGACCGCCGAGAGCTTTTATGAACTTTTTGTGTGTTCTTGGGCCTAATATGAACTGTTAGGAGTGGGTATGGGAAAAATCTCTAATTACATGGAACTTGTGAATGCTCATGTTTAGTCTCCATGCCAATCAGTAGTATAGCATAACAGAATCCTAGTTTAACCTAGAGCACTGAAACATTTTGATGTATCGCACTGAACCGAAATACGTGTTAATTGCAAAAGTTATCTTACATCTATAAGGAGGGTTTTAGTATTTCTCTGCTGGCTTATTAATCATACTCTGCAGAAATTTCTTTTAAAAAATTGATCCTAGGAAAACTGATTTGGATCTATCTTTTCTGAGAGTACCAACTTGCATTTGTTCATTTCTTAGTGATACAGCATTAGAACTTCTACCTTCCAAACTTATAAGAACAACTTGATCTCTAAAAATATATATGCTACTTTCTGTTAATCCTTCCGCTTTTTATTACTTCCTCATATACTACATACGTGGTATAGAAAGTAGTGTAATGCTGAAGAGAAAAACAGCATTCTTTCTGCTGAAACAATTGTAGCTCTCTGAACCTAAGAAAGTAGATAAATCTTCTTCCTGTATGTTGTAAATAACTTCCTCTAACACATGTAGTTAGAATCTATGTTTTGTGAGTTCTTAACACTGAAAAATTGGTTTAATGCAAAATTTCCCTCTGTGAACAATGCTAGTTGCTAAACCATAAGTAGGATTTTCACCATAATTGATATTCCCCTATCATTCTGGTTGATGTCACAGACCTTTGTATTGAAAATAGATATTTCAAGTTTTGGGAGTAGGTACTTTATGTAAAGCGACAAGGACATTTTTCTAAAAGGTGGTTCCAAATTTCTGGATTATATTTTTATGTAGAGCAAAATACTTGTATAAAAATGATGCAAGTCCAATTTTCATTGATTTCTCTAAAGTCTCGAAAATTGCAACAGTTTGAAATATTTTTGAGCATCTTTCTACAACTACAATACTGAAAATGAAGACTTTTTTCTTCATGAAATTTGTTCTTCAAAAGCTGCTCTTTAATTAAGGCTTAACAATTGTTTCAAAAGGTTTTGTATAATTTTGCATGAAAAGGTAATTTATTAAACAAAAAGTTTCTAAAAAACTGTTTTCTGTGAAAACTAGGTCAAATATTTTTTCACACACTCAAATGATATTTTCTCGTAAAAATTAAAATTTGCATGTAGGATCATGATTTACTCTTCTACAATATTCTTAAAGTCATTTTTTAATTCACTGTTAGGGTCCACAAAATTGAGAAAATAGAAAAAGTTTCTTTTGTGCTCTAATAGGGATCAACTGAAGGGGGGGGGGGGTTCGAGTAGTTCTGAAAAGCTAGGCCAGAGTTAAAGAGATTAGAAAACTAACTAGTGCATGAAAATCTGTACACAGAAAAAAGAAACCGTTGGAGTATACCAGATCCATGATACTGTAACAAGTTTCCTTGTTACAGTATCATGGATCTGGCAAACTCCAACAGGTGTTGTTTGTTTTTTTTAAGAATTGCTAATACTCACGATAAATAATTTATTTTACAGGAAGCGATTATTAAGATCTTGAAAATGAGAAAACATATTTCCAATGCACAATTGCAGTCTGAACTGGTGGATATACTGAAGAATATGTTCCTACCAAGTAAGAAGATGATAAAAGAGCAAGTGGAGTGGTTGATTGAACATAAGTACATGCGAAGAGATGAAGATGATATTAATACATTCATCTACATGGCGTGAGAATGTCACGGGCAGGATGATCCACCAGGGCAGGGTTCTCTGGTCGCGTGCTGGCTGGCATCAGTGTGCCAGATGTATCGTTGCCTTGCCACTGCCTCCCTTTGTGCGTCCCTGCCGCTGCCTGGGCTTTGGTGTGTGTCATTTGGCAATGTTTATAGGATGACAGGAGGGTTTATGCATTGCTCACGTCCTCTTGCTTGGTTGTTGTGGCCCCTTGTGTAAAACACCTTGGCTGGAATTTCTAGTCATACTCCTAGAAATACAAAGGGACTGTGTGAATAAAAATGATCTGCTTTGCGACGCCAATTGTTTCAAGTGTTGTCGCATTGTAATATGAAGTTTTGTTTTTCTACCTGAATGAATGATATGAGAGAGATGCTGCAATTGAAAAGACTCTGCTGGCCTGGACCTTTGAAGGAAAGTAGTTAATTTTCATCTTTGAATCTCCTTCAGCTGAATATTATTTAAGAGAGAAAAATTGTCAGAATGAATAAATTGTTTGAGACATTTTGGTTTGCCAAAAATGTCACAAGGATATTTGACTCTGTGTCAGTAATTTATTTCTGTAATTTCATGATCTCTGACTCTTCTTCACTTCCTATCCTCCCATTTATTTGTTATTCCCTTATTTGGTAAATGATGCTGTTGAAATGTTTCAGAACTTTAAATATTTCTATTTATCAGAGTAATAAAAATTATATCATGTGCCCACTCCCTACACATACACACATTCACACTCACACACAGCTATATATACAACAGCAGCTGTGTTGAAGAAATTTATTGCTATGACTGAAGGGCATATGACATGTGAACGTAAGCTTACCACGCCAGCAGGTGGGTGCATACATGTATCATGATGCATCTTTGTTATGTGAATTACTGAAAATGATTTTCAGGCAAGTGTGTATTTATTCTTTGTTAAGAATAAATTTTTAATGTTATGGTACTTTCATTTACTCATTCATGATCCCTTAATTCCATAATCCTATCAACAATTAAAAATATCTCTTAAGAATAGTGTATAGAGCGATTTTCTTTAGAATGGGATGATTTGACAGCTAGTACTGGCAACACAACTGACAATTCTGTGGTCGTTGTGTCCTTGAACCTATAAGACTCTCCTTCCTCCCTTCGTTAGTTTGCAGTTGGCTAAATTGTAAATGGCTTCGACTTATCTTTTTGTGATGTCCTGAAATTAGGGAGTACAGAGCTATGTGCTCTTATGTTAAAATTATTTTTTTATATAAACACTACATTGAATTTGGTTTTTATGTGATGAGTATTATGTTTGTTTTAAAATCAAGTCTTGAATGTGAGATGCGTACTGGTGGCAAAGCATATGTTTCTGGCTGTGTTGAAAGGTGGCAAGCTGTTTTGAAATACTGTGCTTTGCTTCTTATATTTATTTTTTATATAATTGTGACATGATTGTGAACCATGAGAAGGCGAGTGGGCGCAAAGTGCATCGCCGTGTTCACGCCAGCGACAAGACACTATATTCTTCATGGGGAAATGGAATGATGAGTGAGGAGATGATTGAGGAATGGAATATGCTTCTTATCACAGTGCACATGTAAGTAACAGTTGAATATCAATTGCATTCTACTCCCGAAGAAACATATAATAGCAATATTGTCATTTCTGTAATTAGAAAATCCAAAACAACAAAGATGGTGAGACTTATTTTCAAAAAAGGAAATAATTTTGTATTTATTTTGAAATATTTTTGCAGTTGCCTCGGACCATCTTCAAGACTGTACCTACAACACTGGATAAAATATTGATTTTGTAGGGAAGTATATTCTTGAACTCCAATAATGACAAGCCATGGTGCTTTAAGAGAGAAAATATTCAATTAAAAAATATAATACTAATAAACATTTAACTAAACAGAACACATATGAAATTTTGTCTTTTTGTTCCAGGAAACTTCCGCTGACAGAAGAGAGCAACTAAATTTTATATATTTACCACACTTAATTAAAATAAATTTCCTACCCTTGTTACTTTCTTTTTTTAAATTTGTATATTGTTTAAATGTATGTGGTATTGTAATTTTCTGTATCAAATTATAATTGTAATTTTGTGTATTGTATTTGATAGTTTTCTTTTGTTTGTATTAACATGTGTTTTGTATAATTTTTTAAAGTGTGATAGGACTTGTTCGTTGTCTTTGTTACTGTTTATAAATTGTGTTGTCTTTGTACCATATCTCGGATTGTTTTCATTACATGCTTGCTGAACTGGACTCAAGCGAAAGCAATTTCTCGTTCAAGTGCATTGCAGAATTCGTTAACTTATGTGAAAATAATAAAATGTAATTATTTTTATATTATTATTCATAATGCTGAGATGGATCCCAGTTTGCTGCCAGAATGTAATGGAATTAACAATTCACCCCATTTGTGTAAGTTCTCCATAAATGATGTTGTGAAGTTATTTATATTTAAGTACCTTCACAGGACATTTTTAATACCCATCCCATTTATTCTTTTAACATCATAGAGATACGATTTATTGAGATTTAGTATTTAAAATATTTATTTGAAAAGTGAATGCTTATAAAAGAAACAACTCAAGAAAATTTGCTTATGTCTTTAGTTATGGATACAAGAATACAAATAAAAGATAGCATTCACTGTTTAGGTGTAATTGGTGAGAGTGAATATAAAGAATGTGCTTATTATTCATCCATGATATAGGTGAAAAAAGACATGCCAGATAAGGGCATGCATTGAAATGCATAACAGTGAAATATAAAACATTAAAACTCATTTGAGTTATGAGAGAAAAGTACCAAGTCTTGATAGTCTGGGTGTTGTAATTATAAACTACCCTCTTCACTACCAAACTGCATGAGTCATTCGCTGTAAAACATCTAGAGAGTATTTGAACGTCCCCTGAAAAATCATTTTTTTTCTTTCTATTTATATTCGGGGCAATTTTCTTTTACTGAATGTGAGATTATGTTAAGACAAATGTTAAGCGTTCTCTATTGCCAGGTAGCGAACCCGTTAAGTGAGCCGAACGCCGATAGAGTGAACTGCATGTCACACACTGGCGGGAATCGCAAGATGCTTTGCGATACCTCTTCGCATCGCATGAAAATCTAATAGCTCAACGTAAATTCTGAAGCTTGAAAATGGTTATTATCCGATCTTTATGCGACGCAAGGAGGTATCGCTATACGCGCCAACTTCAGCGCTCTCTCTTGCCTGCTGAGAAAACTGTGTAAGTGACCCGACCGCCAATAGAGTGCATTACATGTAACGCACTCTACGGCGGGAATAGGTATGCTTGTCGATACCTCTTAGCATCGCATGAAGACCGGATAGCCAAACGAGAATTCGAAAATTGAAATCGTTCTTGACCTCTTCGCATCGCATGAAGATCGGATACCCCAACACAGAAAATCTGCTGCTTGAAAATATTGTTTTGTTATCCGATCTTCATACGATGGAAGGAGGTATCGCTTAACCCGCCAACTTCAGCGCTCTCTCTTGCCAGCTGAGCGAACTGTGAAAGTGAGCCTAACACCGATAGAGTGAAGCACATGTCACGCACTGTATGGCGGGAATCGCAGGTTGCTTGTCGATACCTCTTCGTATCGCATGAAGACCCCAACACGAATCTTGCAGCTTGGAAATTTCGTTTTGTTATCCGATTTTCATGCGATACAAGGAGGTATCGCAGTTCCCGCTAACATTAGCGCTCTCTCTTGCCAGCTGAGCGAACTGTGTAAGTGAGCCGACCGCCAATAGAGTGAAGCACATGTCACGCACTTTAAGGCGGGAATCGCAGGGTGCTTGTCGATACCTCTTCGCATCAAATGAAGATCGGATACTCCAACACGAATTTTGCAGCTTGAAAATTTGTTTCGTTATCCGATCTTCATGCGACGCAAGGAGGTATCGATACTCCCACTTAAGCGCTATCTCTTGCCAGCTGAGTGAACACTTTGAGTCGAATAAATTGAACTACATGCCACCCACTCTATGGCGGGTAGAGTATTTTACGGGATGGCGGGAATCGCCGTGGTGCTTTGAGATGTGATTTCCTTGGCAATAGCGGTCTCTAGAGACGCGACACATTTTTTGATACTCCTCTCCTGCCCAGAAATATATTTAAAAAAAATTTACCTTCACACATGGTTCAGAGCCCATCAGTCAGGTCTCTATTTAGACAAGTTGAACACAATGCCATTTAAACTTATTATTTATATTTAACATTTACCTTATTATGATTAAATGATTACAGGAAAAAATAGTTTACAGTTTTATATACATTTTCTTTATTATTAAATAATAATCACAAATAAACATGGATAATGCATTGTGAAAATCTTTAGAACGATTTCTTTCTGAGGTAAAACAAAGAAAAACTTAGCAGTCAGTGCACCTTACAAATGTCAGGCTTGAGCACCCCTCTTTCCTACATCTGGATCTAACTTTTTGATGCTGATTCATTTCTGGTAAATGCATGACATTCTTAGTTCTTTTTGATATTGGTGGTAATGCCCGTGTAGGTTTACGCTTCTTTTTGTGCGATTGCTGCACCTCACCAGCTTCTTCTTATTCTTCAAGATCCAAATTCTCATCTAATAGATCTTTCCCTGATTTGAAAAGCACAAGATGTTCAGAAATATACAACTTAAACTGAAAATATGCCAGCATTTCGTTTTTCTTGCATCTTGAATCGCAGCTTCCCTGTACTCTATGTAGGATGCTGCAATTAAAAAATCAAAAAAACGGTGAAATATTCTGTCTATTCATTTGTTGTTTCTCATAGCATACTTTCTAATAATCCTGTCAAGGTCTACACCGCCCATGTGACTGCTGAACATTTTAACAGTAAATGGTTGATTGAGAGACTTTAATATATTTACCGTGCTTCTTGGCCAACCTCCTAACATTCTGAACTGGTTTTGTTCCATAGTGTGTAATGCCAAATGAATTGGACGATTATCTTAGCATTTAACAATTACATTTCTTTCACCC